ATATCAAAAGCAGCATATCTTGTTCAATGTGCTAATTTTGTTCGTCACTGTTCATTAGGTCAATGGTCAGAGTGGATGCGTATTAATATGACAACATTTTGTCTTCATGAATCATATGCTGCATGTGCAACAGAAAATATGAATGCAAGATTTACGAAATTATATCAAGCAGCTGCAGCAAGAATGTTGTATATATGAGGTGAAGAAAGTTATTAAAACAATTCTTTTTAATAAATAAACATATCTAGATATAATATACTAAATTGAAATAAAAGGCTCTTTCATTACGACTTGAAACAATATTAGACAATGAACAAAAACAATTAGCGACATATAATAATAATAATACAAAAGAAACAGGAATAGGAGGAGGACGAACGACTTTATGGAAGTGATCAAACATATGAAGATTATTATAATGAAGGTACAAATGCATGACACTTAATCGTGCGCGTTGTTGTATTTCGTCAGCTTTATGTCTGCATATATATATGTATATGTCTGTTTGTGTATGTGTATGAATATATTTATATTTATGTTTAAATATATATTTTATATATAAATACTTAATAATAATTTCTTTATTTTTGTTTAGTGGTTGTTAACCGTTCAGGACATGATTGTCCATATTCGTTACGTATTATTGGATGTTTACTTCATTGTGAAATTACATCATTTTCACGTGAAACAGATGATAAACTACCAAAACTTTCAACAATGTCGACAACAAATAATAAGTTTCGACAAAAACAACAGCAGCAAAAACAACAACCACAACAACGTACAAATAATCCGGCAACAAGTGCACCACCAACAGTTGTTGAAATATCATCATCATTAACTGATAAACGTTCAAATGATCGTATACGTATGGGTAGTGTTGTTTCTCAAACATCAAATACAAGTTCAGCATCGATGTCAAGTAAACATCCAGGACGTACGAATTCTATTATGAATACAAAAAAGAATTCTTAATTTATTTTACTTTTTCTAATAAATTAGTTTCACTAAAAGCATCATCAGTTACAATTCCACCTGTATTAAGTACAATACCAGCAACAGTAATTAATATGAATTCATCATTATCAAGTGAAAGACATATATATTTTGCTGTTAATAAGGAAAATGATTCGAATGATATTAATCATACATTTGTTATGATGAATGATGAAGATGGAGTTATTATTATTGATGGAAATTCATCATCAAGTAATGTTGAACGACGAAGTAAGATATAAAAGACTTATTTTAGTTTAATATATATATATATATGATTTTTATTATCTTCTTTTTAGCATTTAATGCAACACATATACCAGGACGTCTTAGTCGTAGTAGCGGAAAAGTAAAACTAATTCGACGAAGTAGTGTTAAATTAAGAAAATCATCATTACGAATGAAAGAATCAGGCAGAAATATGAGTAAGTTTTTAAAGTATGAAAAAAAATCGTATTTCATTTTTCAAATCGAGTACCATCATATTATTTTGAGTGTAATTTTATCAGCAGTGGTTACATTCTGATTCTGGTCTTCAACCTGGATAGTTTCTAATATCTCAAAGCAATACTAGAAAACAATTTAAAAATCATAAACTTACTATAGTTTATTTTCTCATATTGAATTTGTTACCCATCCTATTTACACATTAGTTAAATCTCAAACTTTTCTTATTTTGTTTAATTAAGATACTCATCGTTCATCTTATCGTACACATCGTCGTAGTCATGCATCAAATATATCTTCTGAAACTGATGGTCATCAAAGTGGTATTGGAAGTTTAGTTATGGAACCACCAGATGAATATATGAATAGTAATGATGAAGAATTTGATCAAGCAGATTTCTGATAATATTATTAATACTCGTCCATCTCCATGGACGAAAGTTGTTATACGTATATTAAGTAATGTTAATTTAATATGTGATCATCAGATAAAAAGTGTATCAGATTCTTATGGTAAACAAACATCAAGTTGTAATAAAAATCTTATTCAAACATTATTAAATATATATCGTTTATCATCATCATCAAATTTAACAAATACTGCTTCATCATCATCAACACATCGATCAACAACACATTTAAAACGTAATGATACAACATCAAGTAAAACTTCACATGATCTTAAAAAACGACGAGTAAAATTTAAAAACTATTAAACTTAATATTATTTTACAAAAAAGATTTTTTTTTCTTCTTGGTTTCAACATGTTTATTTCGTGAAGGTACTGGTCAAAATGTTGATAATGTTACAAAAACTACTAATACAACTAAACCACCAGGTGTACCTATGAACGGAATGGTTTTCGAAGTAGCTGATCCACATCTTCATAAACAAACTAACACACATTTTACTATCGTTGCTCATTATCTTGAAAAACAAGCTCGTTTTTTTAAATGTTTTAATTAAAATAGTTATTATTTTTCTATTTATCCTAGATTCAAACATTAACTGAAGTATCCTTAATGATACTTTATAAATCGTCACTTTTATTAAAAGATGAACATTATTCGCAAATATTTAATTTATCTTGCGAACTTTTATTAGAGCATAATAAGGGATTAACTGCTTCTCCTGGTACGAGAGAAAATAAAAGATTTATTTCAATAGTAATAAATATGAATGTTTTTTTTCGTTTATAGCAACAATTGTTATTCTAACAGCTGCTCCTGCTGGTCATTTAGTCGATGCATTATTTCATACTGAAATGGAAAATTCATCTGCATTAATACGTTATAATGCAATATTAAAATTTCAAAC